CCTTTTGCGACGCGACATCACGGAATTTCGTTACTTCGATGAATCGTATATCACCGCGCGATACTCTTCCTGGCCTTTTATTTGCCATTTAGTAACATTAGAGCGGCACACCAGTACTTTTTATAGATTTTCGTATTCTTTCTTTCCGTTCGCGTCCGTTTGCTTCGCTGGGCAAAAGGACTGAGTGTCGCGCAGGGTTATCCATTTTGTCAGCGGTGTCGACGATCCGTCGTAAGATAATTCCAATCGATTAGAAAACGAAAATCGACCGATCCGAGAACCATGGTGTTCGTTGGCATTGTATAACTCTTCATCGTTGTCGAAGTGTCTCTCGTTCTCTTAGCTCTTTCGTTCAACGAATCGCTATTGAATTCGGCTATATAGACCTATATTAAACGATCGATGAACCATTTTCCCTAAGAGGCAGTAAACCGCTTCGCTTGCAAGTTCGATTTAGTTGACACCAATCGCATCGTGGCTCTAGCTTGAACAGGATTACCAGTTTCTTTCGCTCCGTCGTTTGCATTTTTGCGCGTGCGCTAATTCGAGGGTCCGCCTCGAGGCCGGCGTGCAAGTATTAGATAGTCCCTTAAGTGTGTCAACGGGCAGCTTGATCGTACGTTTAGTCCGCCTAGCCTGTAGGAATCGCTACGTAGTTGCGTATGTTAATTATGTATTCCCTTCCGGATACGATCTTCGTCGAGATCTCGAGGGTGTTTTATTCGAGGTCACTGGTCGTTCCCGCAAGAATCTCGCGACGAAAGAGAACATAGAATCAAAGAATCCAATCAAAGCTTGCTGAACGCATATCAAACTCGATCGTCTATGAATGTGTTTCGAACGACGAATCATTGCAATCGGTAGGACTCTGTTGTCGAGCAAATTACGTCGAGAGAAAATAGTATTTTGCTACACGAAAGAATATGCCGGTTTAAGTCCACAGCTGGTATCCGACATCGACGAATGCTCGGCGTCTTTGCAACATTTTCCTCCGCCTCGTCTCACCAATTTTCGTTACCGACGAATCTCACGCGATTCAGATATACCGATCGAATGGCAGAAACGAATGGTATCCTCTGAAATGGTACCGCGGCAATCGGGACCGTCAACGTGACGGCCGTGTTCGAGCCGAGCAATGGAAAAGAAATGAAATCTTCGCGTATACCTGGGATAGTAGTATTTTTTTATCGTTCGACCAATGAAATCGCCTACGGCTCTTTCAGAATTGATGGGTCTGTGATAGGTAGCCTTCTAATACTGCAGAATTCGCGAACAAGGTGCTAGAAATCTCTTTCAGTTCCCCGAAGATTTCCTATTTTGGTACGTAGACACTTAACGCACAATTCGAACTTGGAAAGATTCTTCGTTCCATCCTGTCTCCTTTGGTTACGTAGGAGTTGCACGAAAGCAGAATCTCGCGTCTAACTCTATGACGACGCGAGGGAAACTTACAATTCTTTCTATCCTTCGATCGTTTTCGTTGGAAGCGCGACGAACGAACGAACGAACGAACGAACAAGACTCGCGCGCTTCTTCACCGACTGAGAAATTCGGTCGTAGCATAAGATATTCTACATATTTTCGTATAAACGTGGGTAAGAATGAAAGAACCGAAATGTAGCGGGACGTACAAGAAAATACGTGTATCGTTTATAATATGCACACGCGTATATATCTTATTCTACATATTATTCGTACGATAAAGGATGGTCGTATATCTATGGGTAAGAATATCAGGAGAAACGACTCCACGAAACGTGAGAACCATTCACTTCCGGATTTTCTTCGCTTCGAATTTCATGCTGCAGCGTGGTTTACGCGACTGGGAAACGTTCGGAGATCAATGATCGACGGGAATCTCGCGAAAGTGCCAAACGCGTCGCAATTTCGTTTCTCCACGAAGCTGCTCTATATTTCTACTGCAATCGAACGAAACAATGTTTCCGTGATTAAACAAATCCGTGTAACAGCTCGAATTCTATCGAGAACGCACAAAGGAATTTTCAGGGAATACGAACAGATTCAATCGAGGTCTATCCATGCTACCGCGTTCGTAGCAGTTTTACAAACAGTGTATTGATTTCTCTTCTCTTTTTATACGAACGTTGTATTCTGAATTTATCGTAATCGTACGTGTTTGTGGGATAACGAGTGAATTGTATCTTCCAGAAATATCGCGTCACGTACAATCGAGATGAGTATCATTTTGCTGGATCAATTGACGGCAGAACACGTTTCTTTTTTTTTTTTTTTTTTTTTTTTTTTTTTTTTAAGTATAATTCTCCCTCCCCCGGTTCTAGTCAGCTGATTCGTTTCTTTTTCCTCTCTCCGTTTTCGCTCGAGTCGCGTAACACGGAAATGGTCTTGCGTACCAGTGTTTCAAACGTTTAACTCGTTCCTTAATCGCTTTCCGTTTTGTTCCTTGTCTCTTCCGCTTCCCTTCCGTCTCGTCGACGACAACGTCGTCGTCGTTTATCGACTGTCCGAGCGCTGACGAGTCTCGAAAGTGAAATCATCGGCACGTTCCGCCCTTCGAGACGTTAATTGTTCCGTAGCCGTGACGACGTCATTCGTCGGCGACGATCGCATCAGTATTACTACTTCGGATTAAGGTCGAAGCAGACACGTCACCGCGTCGAATTAATCGCAATCGTAAGACTGGGTATACACAGGTCGCGTTAGTTCTGTCCGTTCTAACCGTCGTCTTCGCTAGGGCATATTTCTGTTTTTTTTTTTTTTTGTTATTATTCTTCTTTCTACGATTAGTTTGTCGCTTCCGCCAGAGGCTGCATCGTTGATTCTACTCCCGTATATAGACGAAAGTAGAAGAGACGCGTGATAACGAGACCGAACACAAAATCATTCCGTTGCATTAGCTTGTATAATTGTATAATTTTCTGTAAAGAACGAAAGAAAGAGCGCGTGAATGTGTACGTATGAATGGGAGAGAGAGAAAGTGAGAGCGTATATATACTTACATACATAGATTATATTAATATAAATATTATTATTATATTATTATTATTATTATTATTATGTCATACTCTATTGTATGAACACAGATATATGATACGTTGAAGCTACTTCCCTCTTTGGTCGTTTTTTTTTGTTTTTTTTTTTAAATTGTACTTAAGCGATCTACGAGCTTAAACTGATCGTTCTGAAAAAATCGGTGCTTCGTTTTTTTTTTTTATCTTGTTGTTTTCTAAGCTTAAGCTTTTTATTTCTATAATTATCGAAATAGGAAAGCTTTTCTTCCTATTCGATTCGCGTTCCTGCGATCGATCGATGATCGATATAATTTTGTTTGTCGCGTTGCCAGGATCCAAGGGAACGGGTCGATGGGTGGATGAAAATTACTCCGATTCGGCCGAAATGGCCATTATTAATGGTGCCGAATGAGTTTAAGAATACATCTCGAAGGCCTATTATTCATTCAATCTTCGCCTAACATAATCACTGTTGTTTATTCTTCATTTGTGTCGCACACGAAAAGGCGTATAATTTCTGGTCGAGTTGATGGTAAACTCGTTCGGTGTCCACTTGCTTAATTTATACCGTAACGCACAATCAGAACACGTTTACCACTGCCAGAGTAACAGTTCAGTCAATTATTTTGCAATATATCAATCGAATATTCCGCCCCGTGAAAACAAGAGAAAGACTTGCCTAAAAATTGCGACCGGTCTAAACGCGCCTTGGCATTTCTTTGCGTTCCTGTTGTTTCGTTACTCGAATCGACCCTGAAGAACAGTCAAAGTTCGGAAACCTTTGCATTCGAGAATACGTACTCTGTAACATCGATTGTACGACTAACTCATTACGATTGTAACGCTATTTCCGCTGATAATAAAATATTCTTTTGGTAAAATTGACCATTAAACAAAGACGAGGGTCGTGACCGCCCCCCCCCCCTCTCGGCTTCGTCTACCCTTGAATCGTAAGACGAATCTTCTCTTCACGACTGATCCTTATTAATGGAGAACGCACACGCGTGCTTGTGATTTTCAGAATCTCGTTTGCTGCGCTAGCGACGTTCTGGAGGGTGGCCGAGGCGTGGTCCGCGTGGCCGTCACGGTCTCGGAACTCCTCAGATTCCACCAGACCCGTTCGCCGTTGCAGACGTCATCGTCGAGCGTGCCGAGCCACGTGCCCGCTTAGCGCCAAACAATATAATTACTCCTGCGAGACTCGTCGACCAGAGACAAGGAAACGGACGGGGCCATGGTACTTCGATTACACGAGGACCGAATGGAACCGCTGAAGGAGCATCATCCTGGCTCGATCTTCGATCGACAAACAATATTACCGCTGGTTTAAGGTGAATCGTACCTTTTCCCGATCGATTCGCCCGCGAAGAGTGATGCTCGTGACCAAGTTCTCTCGAGTGGTTCGCTCGAATCGAGAGCAACGGAGGCGACCGCCGAACTCGAGACTCGCGTGCTTTTATCGGAATCAAAATAGCGACGCGCGAATTCGGTGTAGTCGACGCCAACCGATAGACTGCGATCAACCATGACATTCGATTAGATGTACGAAACTTTTCTATTGGACGAACAGACGTATCTTTGTACGGAAGAAGAATAGCCGAAGACTAGAGTAATATCGTAGCCGAGCTCGAAACGCGGATTAATGGCTGCGACGCGCAAATCAAACAGCGATAGATGGTGTATCGAAATCTAGTGTATTCGTGCTTTCAAATAGCTGATTATTACGCGACGTTTCTGTATCGTAACGTGGAACAATATTCAATCAAAACTGCGAAGAGACATCGAAATTACAATCGTACGCCCGCGCGTGTACGAGGCTGGTAAATCCACCGTGAATCACCTCGACGGACGAGGGGAGATTCGATCCGTTTCATTCAATCGATATTCGGTTTGTTCGTTCCACGATATATTGTACCGATTTTATTTTCGTTTAAACCACAGATATTCCCACCGAGGAAGCTGGACTTTTGTCTGTGTTGTTCGGTAGCCTCGAATGGCACGTATGCGTGATCGACAGTAGGCAAAGTAGGTTTCTGCGTGAAAACGGATGGTAAGTTAGTTAGGAACTTTTTCAATGTCACCGACGATCGGTTCACCGATCGATATCGTTGGTAAACGATTGTCGGCGACGACCTCCCCGTCAATGGGTCGTCGTTGTATCGAGGTTCATTCGTGCGTTTACGTAACTTTTAAGGCCTAGGTGTTCACGGTAATGTATACCGAAAGCGTTGCAATTTTGTTGTCGTCGTGCACGACACGCCCATCTTTTAATTTCGAAACGACGCGTATTCGATGTCGAGATGTTCTTCGCGTCGAAGCGTCGATCCCGAGTACCGTCGTGATTTATTTATAATTCCCGAAACGATAACCCCGTTAGGTGCTAAGCGTAATATCGTTAGTTGTAATTCCCTGCGTCGTAACGTTCGTTTAGGATTTCTTTTTTTTTTTTATTGTTTTTTTTTTTTTATAGCGATCATGCAACAGAGAATACGAAGGATCTCATGCGTCGTGATCGACGAGGAACCGAGCGTTTGAATCTCTGGTGTCTCGCTCGGAGATGTTACGATCCGGACCAGCAATTGTTTCGTGTCTTTTTTTTTTTTTTTTTTTTTCACGGTTTTCGTTCGATAAAACTCGTAACGTAAATGTCCGTGATTTGCTAACTCACCGGCGAGACATCGACCACAGATTACTGTACCGTGTACTCATATTTATTGTGCCAAAGATGTACGTTAATTTTTCCTCTGTGTTTATCTCAAAGATGACGCGCCTTTTCAGATAAGTGGTGTAGCGCTTTCGTAAATTGTCTCGAAGGGAGAAAGAGCACTGCCAGAACGTCGAGCTTCTTCGACCCAAGATATCGTATCGTTTCGGATGAATTGCGTTTGCTTCTCCCTGCGTTTAAGAAACCTTCGATTTCACATTTTTCCTCTGGCTCCTTTCGACTCTTCCCCTTTTTTCTCATTGTATATCCCTCCTAATTTCTATCCCCGTATTTTCGATTCGATTCGACCAGCACTTATTGTTCGTAGGTAATTACGAATTCACAAAGTGACGCGTCGCCGCGGAATTGTACTCTTATTCGCTCAAAGATCAACTTGCGTTCGCGATTTTCGTTGAATCGGCCGAGGAAGAAAGCTAAAACCATCGAATACGTTTGGAGCATCCCAGTCGACGTCCTATCACGAACAGTATTAATCAGAGACCCACCGAATTTCGACATTGATATCGTAAAAAAGAAAAAAGAATTTTTACCCACCGGCGGTCATGATACCCTTGCTCCCCGAGGCGACCGATTTGCTCCAAACGCTTGCTCGTCCGATCGATAATTATAAACACACCACACGTAATATATTTAAAAATTAACGGATACAGTGTATAAAATAAATCGAGAAAATCTCCGCATGTCTAATCGTCGTTGTTTATAAACCGTTCAGACGCCCCTTCCCTATCGTCCACTCAACTACACAGCGATCTAATCGTTTTGAGTAGTACATACACGAGTATCTGTGTTTCAAGGACCTCTCGAGACAAAGAAGCTTTCATTTCGACCGGAGTATGAATCCAATTTGAATTGAAATGTCCCTAAAACGAGTCGGTCTGTTCCCCCACTCGAAACCTGTCGAAAACGGTTCGTAATGACGACCAGCCGGGGTGAATAAAAAACGTAAGACCGTGCAGGACGAGTGGAATCCCGAGCAAGGAGTGTGCGCGTCGCGGAGCGAGTGTAACCAGCGGGAAACGACGTGGGTGGACCACGGTAGGCGGAGTTGAAAGCTTGAGAAAACTCCATTTTGTTCGAGGGAGGCGGTCTCGATGTTCCACCTTCCCCTCTACAACAGATGGGTACCACCTTGGGACACGATCGACCTTCTCGTGGTGGAGGGAACGCTAACGCGAACATTGCCGAACAGGAGTTCGCGATACGCGTGTGCTCGCCGCTGCCCGGTTCTCTGGTTTCTCGTCCGGTTGGGTAGTCGCGTGGCTCCGTGGGGAACCGCGCGCTTCCATTCGTTTTCTCACCTGACCGATCGGTACCGTCCACGTCGACTGTCAACCGGCCATCGGCAGCTAATCGGCGCGTCGAAGTCACCTAGCAGTTGGCTCGCGGTTGTCGCCGATGGGCCTCGATCGTTGATACCCATAGTTAATACATTGTTGATACATCGTTGATACAATCGGTTGGTGGACAGTGATTCTGGCATGCGCGCGTGCGTGGAACGCGGTGTACCAAAACATTTCGACGACGATCCAGTGGTGTTAAGGAGGTGGTTCGTTCACGGAATCCGAATATATATATATATATGTATATACCGGCAGTGAATAATCCCGTGAATGGGGGACTCCGAAGCGAGCAGTAAACACAACAAGAAAGGTCGACGGGTGCGCCGTGACTCGAGCCGCAGGGTTCATTGATATCTCCAGGTAACACGGCCAGGTGATACGCGCGTTGGTATACAAGGAGTAGTTTTTGCTCGACATCGGGTACAGACCGCGGTCCGTTCAGTCTGCAATGATACGCGACGCTGGTAACAATCGGGCCGATAACGCGCGAGCATTGCCCGGTGGTGTGGTCGGTTTCTTACACGAATACGTCGACGGACAACAACATCGAACCACAGACACGATTCCCGAAGGGAACGACGTCGTCCAGACAACGAACCGAAGCTGAACTACACCTGGGAAAACAAACGAACATCGAATTCCTCTGTTTGGACCACAGCCGATCGTTCGATACACCGATCCGACCGAAGCGTTACGGATAAATATCAAATTTCCGGTGTAATTCGGCGACACTCGAAAACCGCAGATCGGCCGTGGATAACGAATTCGAATTCCATCGGGATAGCGCGATAAGACGAATGCGCGAGATATCGCTCGACCCGATCGAAGATTAAATGTTGGCCCGCGCGAAAACGAAAAAATGTACGTTCCTTCGACGAGTTGACAAGCATCGTGCATCGCGAGCCGTACAGAACCGTGCTGAAGTACGTTCGAGAATCAACCAACCACGTCGAGCGGCCAATGCGACTGGCGGAACACTGGCTACCCGCGAGAAATCGACGATGACCGGCCATCGCACGCACAACCTCGTGTCGTAGTTTTGCGCGTAGGCGACCACGAGTTTCAGTCCCCTCCCGTGGCGTTCAACGACGAAGCTCCTGGCTGGATGAAGGAACTGAACGAATATCGTTTTGACGAGGATTATCAGACGGGTGTGCGACCAGTTGTTTCCGCGTCGTACGTAACGCGCGGACGAACGGGGGGGATGCTGCGATTCCGATGTGTACAGTGAACGACGGGGACGCGTAGGGTCCTCCTCGTTTTCCCTGACCTTTTTTTTACCCCCACCCCACCCTCCCCCCTCTCACCGCCACGTATCAGAAATTTCATCGGTGTTAAAATTGTGCCCGAATCAACGATGGATCTGAGCACCACGCCGAGACGAGCGACTGAGGGTGTGAGTGACCTTCAGAAAACAAGGGTCGCCAAGAGTGTCTTCAGCATCCGTAGCCTTGTCGACGTCGAGGAAGCGGATCTCCCAGCGGCCGAAGACACGGACAGAACGCAAAGTGAGTTAATACATAATTCTTCGTTCACACCTCCGGGCGCGATCGTATATCGTGACGCGTAACGCGTTATCGCCGTGAATTTGTTATCGCAATTACGAAAGAACCCGACACCATCGAGGTGAGGCAACGAACGAATCGTCGGCTCGGTTAATTGGTTTCGCGATTTCGTTTTCGCGCGACTATGTTGCGCGATTAGTAACGTCGACGATTATGATACACAGTGTCCTCGGAGAAGCATTAAGTTGTTAAAGTACCACCGTTTCGGGAGCCGAAATTGTAGTCTGAGACGCTGTTGAGACTCTTCAGGACCGTATTATGTTAATTCGGAATGGGTTACCAACAGTTTAATTTTTACCGATACAGTAATTATTATTGAGTACGACGGCAGAGGCGAAATACCGCGTACCTTTGATGAAATATTACGAACAGAAATTTTAAATACCAAAGAAACATGGTTTACAGGTATCCCTTTAATAATTACGTTGTGAATGATGAATGCGCAAACTCTGCTTACGCTAGGAGAAAACGTGACGTAGGAGAAGGGCCTCCTACCATGCTTCTACCTGTTGGTGTTTGGAATTACTGAAATTTATGCCAAATTAACATTCGATTTAACATTTATGTCAGTACCTGGAATGAATTTATTAGTGGAAGCCGAGTTTGCTCGTGGATATACAACCCTTGGTTGCGGCACCAAAACAGATATAAAAATAGTCCCTTCATCTAAAGTATTTCTTCGACCCACTTTTTTGGGGGTGGCACGGGCAATAACGCCCGACCTCCAGTCAATTCAGGGAAGAAACTTGAATTCGTTGCGTAAAGTGTGTATGCAAGTATATAAACACTATGACTCATCGAAGAGTGGCTGACAACACGCTACTGTCAAAATTCCAAAGCGGCGTCGACGATGATCGGCGTCGATACGCAACCCCGTTTCACCGGTTCGGGTTGTTCGCGGGGATCATCGACGAAAACGTGATCTCGACGATCCCGGAGACGAGCTTTCCAGGAACCGAAACCCCGCCTTGACATTCCACGATCGAGAAACGCTCGCTCTCCGAGCGTACCCTTTTTGCCGGGGCGACGAGCAGCGCGCCTTTTGTGCTTCGTGCTTCAAGCCAGGGGAACAACCAGTCCTTGTAGAGCGATCGAGTCAATTAAGGCTCACTTATACTCGGGTAAATTGCGATAAGACGACGATTAAGTTGAAATTAGCTCGGTTCCCCTTCCTCGACACCCCGTGGCAAGAAGTGTATCAATGTCGTTATTGCCGACACGTATCGAAGGTAAATTAATACCCGTTCCCCGACCGTTCCAATTAAACGAGTTACACGAAACCAGCGGGAGTTTCTTTCTTTGCGACGCGGGATCGCAAAACGATCGGTCACCACGTAGTGGATTTGGACAACGTAGTCTTGCTTATCTCTGTTAACAGGGAGAGAGCTCGATCGAGATTGTAAGAGGTCTATGGGAAAGTTCCTGGTCGATTCGACTTGGAAAACGCCGCGAAAACCAACCGTGGCGGACCGCTCCGGCCCAAGTTTCTAGCACGGTCGATATGCAAAGTAACCCGGGCAACCGCGATAACTCGCATTACTCGACTTTCCTCGCGGAAAATAAATAGCGAATTACCATTTAGCCGTCGGCGATAAACCGAAACGAGCCCGCCGCTCGCGATAACGGAATCTCTCATTCCGCGGGCATACCGTATCGCCTCGTTATCGGGTAATTAACAAGATAACCGGTCGATTAACAAATTACGTATACGTGGGATCGTCAGGCGTGTCGGTGTGTCGCCTCGCGCATAATCAATCGACGAACGGTCGCGTTACGAATGCGATTGTTTTTCTCGCGGAATCTTTTCTATGTTTATAAAGACCGTCACGTTGGTGTAAACTATATTATTCCATTTGATTATTTGTTGTGTCAGTGTGCTGGAACGGTTTAATCACGTATTGTAAAAAAGGGTTTTCACCCGTACGAATTAAATTAAATTAAATTAAATTAAATTAAATTAAATTAAATTGAATTAAATTAAATTGAATTGAATTGAATTGAATTGAATTGAATTGAATTGAATTGAATGGAATTGAATTGAATTGTCGTGTAAGCGAAAACGGTACGAGTGGACCAGGTATGTTTATCAATATACCCGAGGTATGCACCCCGAAAGAGAGCCGTTGCTTCGACCGAGACGCGCGCCACGAACACGCTCGAGTAGTAATTTTACTAACAAAATACTGACCACCAGTAATCGCGCGACAATTGCCCCCCGAGTGCGTTAAGTGGCGCGTATCGCGGTACGTTATCGTTTCCTTGGTCTTCTTTTCGTTTTATGTATTTATTTCGCTAATTGCAGCCTGTGTACCTTACCTAGGCACGCGGGCTACATAATGACCGCGTTCAATTAGTATTTCCAAGGCGGACGGGCGTTTTTTTTTATTCGAGAAATTCTTTGAAAAACATCAGAAATTCGACGAATCGACAATTCTGTCGTATTTTTCCATCCAACAGCCGGAAATAGTAGCCGAAATCGAGGGTCAAAGTTCCGCCAATGAGACACGACGATTAACAGGGGTGGGTGGTTCGCTGTCGATTCGCTTCGATAGAGGAGGGTCGTTATAAGGGGATGGAGCTTCTACCATGACTCGATCCACCCTGGGGTCCACCCTCGATCAAGGGAAGGCAAACAAAATGACTCCTCGTTGCCGCGGTTCGCCAAAGAGACACGCCATCGATGGCACTAGGGACGGCAGGGAATGGATTCGAACGGTCCCGCCGGCAGTACGGCCGTGGCGGCAGCTTCGACTTGTAACAACGAGCGAGTTGATTGCGAAAAAAGAAAGAATACTATGCCCTCCTCTCAATAACGCGCGCCGAGAAAGCCATAAATAACCGAGCAGCCGGAGTTTTACGCGTGCGTATATATACACACGATAGACCGCGGAACCTGGTGATTGGTCGGCCAGGTAGAGCCGACGCTAATTGTGTTTTATTAGCGACTTCTCTTTCCCCTCGCCGACCAACGACCGCGATCCTCGCTAACTAACCTCCGCCCATGTACTAACTATAAACGACATTGTTATTAAGGGTCCTTACACTGTATCTAAGACCCACACAGTCGTTCGCGTGCGTACAACACGCACGTCCAGGCGCAGCTTCGCTACCTTTCCTCGTTAAGGGCTGTTAAGGGAGCCGAGAAGAGGTCCCGAGAACCACCAGTCGGTTTCCTTCGAGCCCAACCACGAAATCGCCACGAAATCCGCAGACTATAACGATCGTTTCGATCTCGGGATAACTCGATGTCGCGCTGGTTACTTCGAAACCCCTTCTCGCTGCACGGAAGAAGCCAATTTCTACCCTTGTTACCCTCGTCAAGATTTTTCTCTACCAGGCACGCGAGAAGCGTCGATTTCGGAGGAGGCGGGGACAACGATTTGTTGGTTTTTTTTCTTTTTCTTTATCGTGCAACTGGCCAGGGGGTCCGGAAAGAGGAGAACGAACGTGGAAGAGGGGAGGGGCGAGTCTTATTACCGCGAACGGAGTCGAGCATGCCGGTGCAATCAAATAAATTAGCCGGAATTACGCATCCTGTGAACCGATCTCTAGCATAGGCGCACTCCCTTCGTCTCGCGACCAATTAGCAGAGCTTTTTCCCCGATCGGGTCCTGAGCGTATTTTATCCCCGGCCCGTCATTTTGTTTCCCAAGATGTCAGCGGCTGTCCTCCGAAGCGGCTATACGAAATTCCGATTCCGTCGTTCCCTTGTCCTTGTTTCGCTCCATCGGCGAATCAATTATTTCTTTTCTCGTGAGGACATTGTTCGTTTCTAAGCAGAGTGGACGCTGACCACGCGTCGAGGGGTTAACTCTAGAACGAATGAGCCTCGAGCTGTCACATAAACGTCCAAGGGGGCTCCTCGACCCCACACTTCTTAGATATTTCTCCTAAAATAAATTATTTTTTGATGAAAATTTTATAACATTCGAGTGTATTACAACTTACTCTGTGTTACAGCCTGCCCCGATCTCCCCTACCTAATAAAGACGTGATAGCATCGACGCCCGACGCGTAGTTCATTTTCGTTTTCTTATGCACAATGTTTATCGCATATAGTAACGATGACTTTTGAATATCAAACCGAAATATGTATAAATAATTTTATAAAAATGTTCTGCAATCGGGAAATAGTTATGATTTTACACTATTCGACTCGTGGGTTCAAGAAATCCCCCCTTGGCCGTTCTACCTGAAAGTCCATCCATTCTTCGTGCGCGGCCTATTAAAGTGCATTACTCGGCTAATGCTCGATTGTAAAATAGAACGAGGCGGAGGAGCAGGAGGATGTTTATCTATCGTGAAGCATCGATCTTCGAACAGGTCGTTTCGATGGTTCGCCAAAGCGTGTACCGATCGTGTAATAGGTAATGCTGTGATCGGCTAACGAGACACGATCCTCGTGGGAGTGAAGATGTGGCAACGGCCAGGCGTCGTCGTTGGTTCAGGGATAATAACGGAAAACTATCGAACGGACAGCAACGCGACGCGTCGCGACTTGGCCACGGAGCGAAGCGAAACGGTTACCGCGTATTCTTGCGTGACGCGTTATTAGCCGATTGGCTCATTAATCGCTCCGTCGGCCCGAGACAGCCGAACCCTCCCCTCTCCACTCCTCCCGCCAACGGCCGTTTGGATACCGAGTAATTGCTAATCGCTAATTGCGAGCTCAAACACTCCATCCAATTAACCCTCCCATGAGCTCGATTCGCCACCGATGATTCCTGTTCGCGGGCAGCCCACCCCTCCGCGCGTTACCCTCCGTTTCAACCCGTTTACCCACCCGACAGTATTTCTCTTCCAACCTGGTTAAGTATCGTTAATTGTAGACTTTTCCAACGGAACCGATCCAATGGAAGGAAAATTATGTCGAACAGGTAGATTCTCATCGTTAGATGGTTTTTCCTGCTCCATTATAGCTTGTTCGATTTACGCAACCGTCA